CACCCGCCGCCTCACTACTCTGCTCTTCCTGGTGTCCCCCTCCCCAGGAGGATTCAGTTCTCCGCTGAGCCTTTGTGCCGGAGCCGACGAGCTGCACGTCACCCACCAATCCAGCTCCCTTCCCGCCGCCCTTCCTGGTGGCACTAGTGTTTCATTAACCACCGCCTTGGTAAGTGGCTGGAGAGAGCCACCGCGGCCCTTCCTCTAGGGGTTTCTCGGGGTTTCTGAGGCAGTGAGGACCCCCCTCCACCCCGAAGAGGGCTGAGCTTGGGGGGAAGGGGCCCAAGGCCAAGGCACCTGAGCGTCCAGGAGGGGGTCATTTAGGAGGCTCCTGGGTCTGGATGGGCAGCCGATGGGCACAGGGGACAGGACCAAAGGGGAGGGCCTGGGCCGTGGGTGGCCGTCACCAGCCAGGGCCAAACCAGGGACATGGCAACAGGATCAGAAACCATCTGGGCCCCCAGGAGTTAGGGGAGACGCAGGTGGTTAGGGCGCCGAGGTCGAGGCTGGTCGCCAGGTGGCAACGGGCCCCTCTGGAGGCAGGAGATGCTGGTGAAGACCCCTTGTCCTCCCTCAAACCAGGACTGCGGCATCTTGGGCATCTCCAAACCCCTCTGGCCAGGATCCGCTCACCAGGCCCTGCCCTGGCTCTCCTGCCTCCAAACTGCACTCGGGGTAGAGCGACAAAGCCAAAACAGCAGCTTCTAGGCGGACACGGGGGCCTTGGCCAGGTGATGACCTAGCAGTGTCTATCACCTCGGATGTGGGAGTCAAGCTACGGCCACCTGCCCTATTTCCAGGAATTCAGGGGGTCCCCACTGGGCTCCCTGGTCAGGGCCTGCCTGAGGGTGGCCCCCTCTGTGGACGGAGGCTGGCTCCCCCCACCTCCAGGGCAGAGAAAAGACAGACCCTGAGTGATGTCCAGCTGGGGTCCTGGGGCCCACCCCCCCCACCCGCCGCAGCAGGGCAGAGAGCTGCGAGGGGGGGCGAGGGGAGAGTTCCACCCTCCCCCCTCCTCCCCCACTTTCTTTGTGGTTTAATTAGTATTTCCAAGTGGTGCTATCCCTCTGGGAACTCCAGAAAAACCCAGGAGAGATGCACAGGGAGCGTTCTTAGTTAGGAAGTGCCCCTCCAGGCTGGGAGCACTGGGGCTGGGGGCGGTTGGTGGAGGTAGGCAGGTGCAGGGACAGCTCCCAAGGCCACCAGCTCCTTCTGCACGGCCACGTCACACCAGGGACCCACCCCCCCCCCACCCCCGCCAAGCGCGGGAAAGGGCCTCCTGGGGCGGGCGGACTTCGAAAGTTAAGACAGAAATAGGAAAACTGATCTGTGAAAATATGGGCTGGTATTTTCACTATTTCGATTCCTTGTTTGTGCAACAGACAATAATCGTAACAGCTATTGTCTACCAACTGCTTAGGATGTGTAAACACCTTTTTAAGCACTGTGTCCCCTCAAGATTTCTATGTTGGAGTCCCAGCCCCCAGGACCTCAGAAAGTATCCATATCTGGAGACAGGATCTTTGAACAGGTAATTAAGGTAACACGAGGCCACTAGCATGGGCCCTGATCCAATAGGACTGGTGTCCTTATAAGAGAAGATCAGGACACAGACACACAGAGAAGGAAGAGCACGGGAAGAGACAGGGAGAAGACGGCCGCCTACACACCGAGGACAGAGGCCTCAGGAGAAACTGACCCTGTCCACACCTGGAACTTGGGCCTCCAGCCTCTAGAATAAATCGGTCTTAAATAAGCCCCCGTCTGTGATGCTCTGTTAGGCTCGTTCTGGCAGCCCAAGACCACTAATGCCTGTGAATCGTCTTGAATCACACAGACCCTCCAGGTAGGTGCTGTAGTTATACCATTTTGCAGAGGAAAAGACAGGCTCAGGGGAGTGAGCTGGGGCAGGGGATTTCAATCCTGAAACCCAGTCCTGCTCCGCGGGAGGCCGCCTCCCCGGCACCCGTGGCACATCCGGCCCCCCCCAAGCCCCCTCCCCGCACTCACCTGCCGGCTCTCACTCCTCCACACGCCATTGACAGTCTTGGTGGGGGCGATGGTCACCACGGGGGGCGTGCTAGGGACGCTGTGGCCCCCGGGGGGGACGATGATGGGGCCCATGGGCACGCGCTTGGGCGTGCTGGCCGGAGAGCTGTGGTTGGTGGCCGGAGAGGAGACGGGGGACGACTCACTGCTCAGTGAAGACCCTGCAAGAGAAGGACACAGCAGCCTGAGCGGGTGCCCCCCGGCCCCCAACAGCCGGGCAGGGTCACGCAGGCTCCTGCGGATGCCCCATCCCAGCCTGGGATCCGGGCGGTACCTCCCCACCCCCGCCCACAGACAGGGCCTCCCGTGCCGGGTGCTGCTCACCCCAAGCCTCCCCCCGAGTGGGGGAAAGAGCCGGGGGCAGAGCAAGTGTGGCTCGACGAGTTACACCCACGGCAGCTGGGGGCCGTGCAGGATGAGTGAGGGGCC